CTCCTCCCTAGGTAACCACCGTTAAGTTTGGTTTATTGTTTTTTAGACCTGTTTCTATACATAAATAACATTCTATTTATCATCTCATTTTTTCAGCAAAAATTTCTCTAATAAATTTAATGCCCTAAAATCTGTTTTCTTAACAGATAGATATAAAGAAGCCTTTTGCTATCTCTGTTTTAACCTTTTTGTGATCCTTTCACACATGTAGGCCTTCTCCAGGTAACCAGATCCAATTTTTTAAAAACGAGAAGTGGGTACAAAAAGTACCAAAATGAGAGCATAATGCTGCTTTCTTTTGAGATGACCGGCCTGGGAACTTCAAACAAGTAAGTTCCACAAGGGGGTCCAGAGAGGTCAAGCAGAGGCAGAACTCTCCTCTCGTCTCCCAGATGCGTGCAGTCAGGTGAGCCAACAGTTCTACTGCTGGCTGGACCTTGGCTTCATAGTTTCTTCTATGTGCTAATAGAATAAGGAGGTTTCTGCTGTTGCAAAGTTCTACAGAAATATAACTAGCAAAGAAGGAGACTGCAATTCTCACAGAAAGTGATCAGGGACCATGCCTTACTCTGCTTCAGAAAACCCTATCTAGATAATCCCATCTAGGGCAAAGCCCCTTGAGCCAGCCAGAAAGTAGCAATTTATTATCTATATCACCCCCCTAATAAAAATTATTAAGGCTTTTCTCCTTGCCTTTAAGATAAAGTCTAAATGCCTGGCTCACAATGACACCCTGCTGGACTGAGCTCCTGCCTGTCCTTCCAGCCTCACCTCTTCACCGTGCTCTGGGCACCTAAACCTACCGATAGTTCTGGAACATGCTATGCTTTCCATTCACTGTGCCATGTGGTCCCACTGCAGCAGCAGCCTTGTAAACCCTTGTAAGAGATGGCTTTTTCTTTTTTTCTTCTCGAGAATACTTTTTGGATTCTCCTCCTCTACTTTCCTCCTCTGTCCTTCTACAGGAGACTCTGAGAGCTCCTTAAAGACCTTTTTCAATACCCCTAGTGCGTAGGATAGTGGCTGGCACATATTAGGTACTTAATACATGTTGAATGAATGAACACTTTGCTACAGAGAGTAAATATTGCTATTTTCAGTAAGATGTGTACCAGACAAAAATCTTTCATAGACTTTAAAATTCCAAATGCCTTGAAAGAGTAAAGAAAAGAAAAAGAAAATACTTAAAATTTTAAGAACACATTTCTATCCTGTTTTACCATTAACAAAAGACTTTAGTAAACTGAGGATACAAGAGTTCAGCTACACACACACTGAAAGCTCTTTAACATGTGTATTAAAACATTTTATCCTTAGGGCTTTAGCAAACTAATATGGTTATATTCTTTGCAGCTTCTGAAAACACCTCATCAATGAATTTCAATGTTAAACCATCCAGTTCCCCAGGAATTCTGCTTTTAAAAAAGTGACCTAATTAAACCACAACTTACTTCAAAGTTCAGAGAAAACTTTCTTTAGTACGAATGAAATTGACGTAAGTGACAACATGACAAAAATGAAGAGTAGTAGGTAATAGGATGTATTCATTAGTTTATGGTTTAAAAGGTACATATTCTCTGCAATTTCAATATATTTGGCAAAGAATATAGATGTTATCTAAAATTTAAGTTAATTATGTTTTATAATACTTTCTCCTAAAGATTTACCACTTGAGTTTTCATATGTGAGAATTAGTTGCCTATAAATTAATTTAAATTTATACCTCCTTTAGCTGATAATGTAAGAACAAACCCTTAAATACATCTTAACTTCAAGTCCTTTATAGAATGAGATCAGATTATATGTAAATTCAAATTGGTCAAGCCTCCATAATGTCTAGCACACAGCTTAGCTATTTGTTAATTCTAAAATTATAAAAGTTTATATATTCTACTCTTCTATTTTAAGACATTGATATACATCGATACATTTATTTATGCAAAGCTGTAAAATCTTCGAAGGATTATATATATGAACTTTGTGTTCTATTTTTAAGTTTAATAACTGAGTTTTAAAAACTCTAACCTAAATTTTGTCCTTTGCAATTTACTTTATTCCCTCTTGTCCTCCCATATAGAGAGATACTCGCTCACCATAGCCTTAGAATACCCCCTTACTGTAAGGATCACTGCCCTGCGCTTACGGTCCTTCTGTGAACAGCAGTTTGCTATCCTTCATTTCGGGGTGCTTTGCCTTGTGTCTAAATTTGTGTTAAATGGATACTTACCTTTTCCAAAATAACCTGTAGATCTTCAGCTCCTGTATAATGTGGATCTAGAATCAGAAATTTTATCTGCCCTGTTATCTCATTCCATGCAACTCCAAGTATTGTGTGTGCCAAAACTCCTCCCCCTATAGAAGAAATATGAAATACAAAAGAGGGCATAAACCATCTCAACTGCCTATTCAATTTAAATTTTAAAAGACTGATTACTTTGCCTATTAACTAATCTAAAACAGCATTAAATTGACTACCCTACACTGTAAAAGACCACAATGTCAAATATACTTTGAAAAGATAAAATTACATCTTTAAGACATAAATGATAAATCATATCTGTAATTATATAAAGTTTATATTCTACTGCCAAATCCATAAAATTACCTAAATTGGATTTAGAAAGGGCCATAGAGGGTCCAAACTCCTCCCAACAGAGTAGCAATCACTGCTGTGGTCCCTCTCTCAGCACATGGTCCAGCTAGCTGCCTCTGCTCTGAGTGATGCAGCCCATCCACTCATGAAGTTTTCTGATACCCTGCTGACATCAGCGTACCTCTATTTCTTACAGACTAGTCTTAGCTTGCCTTCTGTCATCACAGGACAAGTCTTGTTCTTCATAGAACTATGCATCTTTAGATCAGCTAATCTCATTTTACGAATAAAGTCCAGAGAGAATACGTAATTTGCACAATGTCACACAGCCAGCCAAGTTAGCGACAGAGCCATGTCTTATGATTCTCAGTTTAGTGACCATCTCCTTTTTTTAATGTTGGTCTTAGCTTTTTAAATGTTTGAACACAGTTATGATTTCTCTTCTTAGCCTTTACTTCTTCTGGTTACTAGAAACTTTTTTGTTCAAGCCACCTTGGAATTTTTTCCTTAAATATCCAGAGATTAATATGTGCAGTGTAAAAGTTAATTTAAAAATGTTTAAAATGACTGATTTTATGCAACATTAAATATTTATATTGGTGATAAGTTTTACATACTCTCCACCCTACCAAAAGTGCCCAAGATGTCCAAAACACCTTACCGATCATAATCGGTGTTCCTTCAGTCTGGAAATGATTAGCCAGTTCCCGTCCTTGAGAGGCCATTTCTGAACCCTGGCTAGAAAGAAACCATTTTCAATCAGATGAACTGCTTCCAACAAGGAGGTCAAATAACAGGCTCAAGAGCCAATGTGTTCTACCTTTTTCTTTCTTGGTTTGTTATTGAAAAAATAAATAAATGTAAGTAAATAAAATTAAGTGGTAGGGAACTGACT